GTACACAATTCCACAACACATCATCTGTACATTGTATTATGTGTTCAGCATCACAAGTCAAGTCACCATCAGTCACCATTTATCCCCCCTATACCTTCCTTCACCCCTCCTTCCCCCTCTTACCCCTAGCAATCACCAGTTCCATGAGATTTTTCTCTTTTGCTCAATTTATCCACTCCCCCCATCAAGCCACCCTCCACCTGCAACAACTGTCAGCCTGCTCTCTATCTATGAGTTTATCTGTATATGCTTGTTAGTTCATTTTGTTCATTAGATTTCAAATATAAGTGAAATCAGAGGGTACTCGTCTTTCTCCGACTGGCTTATTTCGCTTAGCATAATGCTCTCCAGGTCCATCCATGCTGCTGCAAAGGGTCTGATTTCCTTCTTTTTCATAGCTGAACACACCACAGCTTTTTTATTCACTCATCTACTGATGGACACTTGGTATGCTTCCAGATCTTGGTTATTATCAATAGTGCTGCAATGAACATAGAGGTGCATAAATTCTTTCGAATCAGTGTTTCAGGTTTCTTCTGATAAATTCCCAGAGGTGGAATAGCTGGGTCATAAGGCAGTTTCATTTCTTCATCTTCTTTTTTTTTAAATCCTAACTGAGGACAGGCTTAGAGAGAGGAAGGGGGGGAAGAGAAAGAGGGCGGGGAGGGAAAGACAGCAATCATTTGCCTTTCATATGCTCCCCAGCTGGGATTTGAACCTACAACCCAGATATGTGCCCTGACCAGGAGTCAAACGGGCCACATTGTGGTGCATGACATGATGCTTAACCAATGGAGCCACTCTAACCGGGCAGCAGTTCCAAATTTTTTGAGGGACTTACGGAAGTCCAGCTTTCCACAATGGCTGCACAAATCTTCATTTCCACAAACAGTACACAAGGGTTCCCTTTTCTCCACATCCTTGACAATACGTTTTTGTTGATTTATGTATGATAGCCATTATGACAGATGTGAGGTGATATCTTATTGTGGTTTTATTTAATTTATTTATTTAGGTTACAGATGTTTCTCCTTTCCCGCCCACTAATACCCACCTCCCCCACGCTCCCCGCCAGGTCTCCAGCTTTGTTGTCCATGTCCATTGTTCATGCATACATGCATATAAATCCTGTGGTTTATCTCTCCCCCACCACTTTCTCATCTGGGGATTGTCAGTCTGTACCCCACTTCCACGACTCTGGGACTACCCCATTCCTCAGACTGTTATGTTCATTATATTCCACAATCTTAACTTTTGTAAATAGTGGTACTATGAACATGGGGGTACATATATTCTTTCTGATGGGTGTTTCAGGCTTCTTAGGGTATATTTCTATAAGTTGGATCACTGGGCCAAATGGAAGTTGAAATTTTAATTTTTTTGAGGTAACATCATATTGTTTTCCAAAATGGCTGCACCAGTCTGCATTCCCACCAGCAGTGTACTAGAGTCCCCTTTTCTACAAACTCTCACCAACACTTGTTGTTTGATGATTTGTTGATAGTGGCCATTCTGACAGTGGTGAGGTGATACCTCATTGTTGTTTTAATTTGCATCTCTCTGATGATTAGTGATGTAGAGCATTTCTTCATACGTCTCTTAGACATTTGTATGTTCTGTTTGGAGAGGTGTCTATTTAGTTCCTCTGCCCATTTCTAAATTGGGTTCTTTGACTTCTTTTTGTTGAGCTTTATTAGCACTCTCTATATATGTGAAATGACCCCCTTATCTGATATATCATTGGCAATTATGCTCTCCCAAACAGTGTGTTACCTTTCCATTTTGGTGCTTGTTGTTTTTTCTGTGCAAAAGCTTTTGAGTTTGATGTAGTCCTATGTGTTCATTTTCTCCTTTGTTTCTCTTGTCTTAGGTGATTTATCAGTGAAAATTTTGCTGTGTATAATGTCTGAATTTTTTTTGTGTGTGTGTGTGGTACATGCCCCTAGTGGGAACCATACCCGGGACTCTCTGGTCTGCAGGCCGATGCTCAACCACTGAGGCAAACTGGCCAGGGCATAAAGTCTGAAATTTTGTTGCCTACAGTTCCTTCTAGGATTTTTATGGATTCATTTATGTATTTTATCCATGTTGAGTTTATTCTTGTGTATGGTGTAAGTTGATGATCTAGTTTCAGTTTTTTTTTTTTTTTTTAATGTAGCTGTCCAATTTTCCAAACACCATATATTAAAGAGGCTGTCTTGACGGCACTGTATGCTCTTGCTACCTTTGTCAAATATCAATTGAGCATATTGTCCTGGGTCTATTTGTGGGTTCTCTATTCTGTTCCCTTGATCTATCTGCCTATTCTTGTGCCAATACCAAGCTGTTTTGATTATAGTGGCTTTGTAGTATAACCTGAAATCTGGTAATGTGATCCCTCCAACTTTGATCTTCTTTTTCAAGATTGTTGTGGCTATTCAGGGCTTTTTGGTTCCATATGAGCTTTTGAAGTATTTGTTCTAGTTCTGTGAAGTATGACGTTGGTATTTTGATGGGGATTGCATTGAATCTATAGATTGCTTTGGGTAGTATGGGCATTTTAATGATGTTAATTCTTCCAATCCATGAATAAGATATGTGCTTCCACTTTTTTATATCTTCCTCTATTTATTTTTTCAATGACCAGTAGTTTTGTGCGAATAGGTCCTTTATTTTTTTGGTTAACTTTATTTCTAGGTATCTTAATTTCTTTGCCATGATGGTAAATGGGATTGGTTTTGTATTTTTTTTTTTTTTTTTAGTTTCTATTTCCATGACTTCATCATTGGTGTATAAGAATACCGTCGATTTCTTGATGTTAATTTTGTATCCTGCTACTTTGCCAAATTCATTTATTAAGTCTAGTAAATTTTTGATGGAGTCTTTAGGGTTTTCTACATATAGTGTCATGTCATCTGCAAATAATGACAGCTTTACTTCTTCTATTCAAATTTGGATCATGTTATTTTTTCTTCCTGTCTGATTGCGGTGGCTAAGACTTCCAGTAATATGTTAAATAAGGGTGGTGAAAGTGGGCATCCTTGTCTTGTTCCTGTTCTTAAGAAAAAGTGCTTTTAATTTTTGCCCCTTGAGTATGATGTTTGCTGTAGATCTTCCATATATGGCCTTTATTATGTTGAGCTATGATCCCTCTATTCCCACATTGCTGACCATTTTTATCAGAAATGGGTGCTGGATTTTGTCGAATGCTTTTCAGTATCTATTGATATGATCATATGATTTTTATCTTTCATTTTGTTTATGTGGTGCATCACATTTATTGATTTGAGATTATTGTACCAGCCTTGCATCCCTGGGATGAATCCCACTTGGTCATGGTGATTTTTTTTTTTTTTTTTTTTTTTTATGTATTGCTGGATTCGATTTGCTAGTATTTTGTTCAAGATTTTGGCATCTATGTTCATCAGGGATATTGGTCTGTAGTTTTCTTTCTTTGTAGTCTTTTTCTGGCTTTGGAATTAGAATTATGCAGGCCTCATAAAACGAGTTTGGAAGTCTTCCTTCTTCTTGAAGTTTTTGAAATAGTTTGAGGAGAATGGATATTAGTTCTTCTTTGAATGTTCGGTAAAATTCCCCAGTGAAGCCGTCCGGGCCTGGGCTTTGTTTGCTGGGAGAGTCATGATTACACCTTCAATTTCTTTTATTGTTATTGGTCTGTTCACATTTTCTATCTGTTCCCGTTTCAGTTTTGGGAAACTATGTGTTTTTAGAAATTTGACCATTTTGCTTATATTGTCGAATGTTTTGCCGTATACTTGTTCATAATATCTGTTAACGATTCTTTGTATTTCTGTGGTGTCAGTTATTATTTCTCCTCTTTCATTTTTGATTCTGTGTATTTGAGTTCACTCTTTTTGTTTCTCAGTAAGTCTAGCTAAGGGCCCATCAATTTTGTGTATCTTTTCAAAGAACCAGCTCTTTGTTTTAATGATGCTTTGAATTGTTTGTTTGTTTTTTGTCTCCATGTCATTGATTTCTGCTCTGATCTTTACTATTTCCTTCCTTCTACTTGCTCTGGGGTTTTCTTTTTGTTTGCTTTCTAGTTCTTTATGTTGTGAGGTAAGATAGTCTATTAGAAAATTTTCTTGTTTCTTGACGTAGGCCAGTAGTGCTATCAACTTCCCTCTCAGAACTGCTTTCACTGCATCTCATAAATTTGTGTTGTTGTATGTTCATTTTCATTTGTTTCCAGGAAATTTTTAATTTCTTCCTTGGTCTCCATTGTAACCCATTCATTGTTCAATAACATGCTATTTAGTATCCATGTTTTCAAATGTCTTTGCATGTTCTTGTTGCAATTGATTTCTAGTTTCATGCCATTGTGATCTGAGAAGATGCTTGATATGATTTCAATCTTCTTAAACTTGCAGAGATTTAGTTTGTGTCCTAACATGTGGTCTGTCTTTGAGAATGTCCCATGTGCCCTTGAGAAGAATGTGAATTCTGCAGTTTTGTGGTGTAATTTTCTGTAGATATCTATTAAATCTATTTGATCTAGCACTTCATTTAGAGTCTGTTTCCTTGTTAATTTTTTGTCTAGATGATCTATCGAGTGATTTCAGCGGGGTGTTAAAGTTCCCTGCTATGATTTATTTCTCCTTTGTAGTCCTCCAGAAAAATTTTGTCATATATAGGTGCTCCTTTATTGGGTGCATATTCGTTTACCAAGGTTATATCTTCCTGTTGGATAGATCCTTTCAATATTATGTAGTGGCGTACTTTGTCTCTAGTTGTGGTCTTTATTTTGAAATATACTTTATCAGATATGAGTATTGCTACCCCAGCTTTTTTTGCTTTCTGATTACTTGAAATATTTTTTTCCATCTCTTCAATTTCAAACACTGTGAGTCTTATTTTGTGAGGTGGGTCTCTTCTGAACAACATATATGTGAATCTTGCTTTCTTATCCAGTCAGCTACTCTGTATCTTTTTATTAGAGCATTCAAACCATTCACATTTAAGGTGATAATTGATATGTACTTATTCATTACCATTTTTGAAAAAAATTGGAATGCTTCACTAATTTGCGTGTCATCCTTGTGTAGGAGCCATGTTAATCTCTTTTTATCATTCCAATTTTAGTATGTGTGCTACAGACGTGAGCACTTACTGTGGTTTTAAATTGCATTTCTTTGATGATTAGTGATGTTGAGCATCATTTCATATGTCTATTGGACATATGTATGTCTTGTTTGGAGAATTGTCTATTCAGGTCCATTTTTCATTTTTTAATTGAATTGTTTGTTTTGGTATTGAGTTTTATAGGTTTCTAATAGATTTTGGATATTAACCTTTTATTACATGTATTGGCAAATATGTTCTTCCATTCAGTGGGTTGTCTTTTCATTTTGTTAATGATTTCCTTTGCTGTGCAATAACTTTTTTGTAGTCTCATTTGTTTATTTTCTCTTTTGTTTCCCTTGACCGAGAAGATATGTCAGAAAAAAAATATCGCTATAAGTAATGTCTGAGATTTTACTGTCTATGATTATTATTCTAGGATTTTTATGGTTTTTAGTCCAACATTTAAGCTCAGCGGTTTTCTTAGGGAAAGTTTACATGGTCCTTTGGTGGTACTTAACTTAGTTCCACACATTTCTAAACCTGTCCCTAAGATTTGCCCTCATGGTAACTTAATGCTGTCAGTCCAGGGAGAGTACATAATTTTCTTAGGATACACCCAGGACTATCCAAGTTCACCAAAGATGGACACCTAAAACTATAACATGAATTTATTGATTTAGAACAAAAAGAAAATAACTACCAGGAAGAAACAGATGGTCACATGAATGAGTCTTCTGTCTGTTGGAAAATCCATGTGTGAAGCCAAATGATAGCAGGAAGGTTGGTTGGTGTGTATGGCATGGAAACAAGGGGACTTAGTTGTATCATTCTAATATTCGCTGACAATCAAATCTAATGGGCTGATCCACCCATCTTCAGGATAAGGATGTGGTGACCTCAATGAATGGAAAGTAGATTTCTTAAGCCAGAGCATCTTCCTGTTCTTGGTAGTGCTACATTGTTAAGGATTTCCTTTTGAGAACAGACATCCATCCCCAGGCAACATAAGCACAGACCAGCAGTTGAGACCCTTCCCCAAAAACTACAGCAAAAGCTGAGCAAGAGTTGAGCCCCATGGAGCAGCAGCACTCTCCAGACCCCAGCAGAGGAACCTGGGGCTCCACAGAGGCCTGTGTGGTCCCACAGCACACAAGAGCAGTGAAAAGCTGGAACCTGACAGAGACTGGTGTGATCCAGTTGCCCACCTGTGGGACCTGTGGGGTGCTGGAGCAGCACGGAATCCTCTGTGACTCAGCAGCCCACAGAAGTTGTGGGAAGCCAGAGCCCTAGAGGAACTGGTACAATCCAGCTATCTGCCCACAGGACCTGCAGGGTCCAAGGGCACTAGTGAGGCCTCAGTTACCCAGTAGCCCACAAGAGCGGTGGGAAGCTGGAGCCCAAGAGGGACTGATGTGATCTAGCTGCCTGCCCATTGGACCTACAGGGTAAAGGTGCACCAGAGAGGACTGATTGACCCAGCAGGGACTGTGCAATACAGTGACCCGTGGGACCTGCAGGGTGCTGAAGCACCAGGGAGGCCTGTGCGACCCAGCAGCCCATAACATAGGCATAGAGCCTGGTCCCCAATGGGAATATGCGATCCAGTTACCCACAGGACCTGCAGGGTACAGGGGCACCAGAGAGGCTTGTGCAACCGAGGTGCACATAAGAAAGGCATTGAGGATGTGAAAATGGAGGCGGAGTGAATGGAAGCTACACAAACCATTTCCCAGGACCAAATGAGAATTACAACTAAAATAAAGACAAATCTTCAGAAAAAAGCAACAGAAAAGCAGCAGGACAGGACCATATAACCAGGGACACTGGTAGCATCTGCAGAGGTGCAAGAGGGTGGCAGGCTGGGAGCCCATGGACAGCAGAAGTCTTAGCTGAGAGCAGCACCTTTGGGGAATAAAGACCAAGCCTGTTCCACAGTGCACACAGCCTGGACGGAGCACTAAAATAATCACAGCCACTGACCTGGGGGCTATGGAAGAGGGAGGGCAGACAGGGTTGGAACTCTGAGGGGACACCAGGGATTTGGAGGGCACTCAGAGTTTCTGCTGAGTTGCAGCCACAAAGGACAGAGGTCAGTGTGCTCATTCCAAGAGCTGTGTGGAAAAGCAGCAGCCCCACCCTTGGGGAATCAGCCTTTCCCAGGTGAGACAAAGAAATGCAAATTGAGACTCATTCACAACCAGCATCTATCCCACCCCATGGTAATCCTCTTAGGCAGAACACCAGGGCTACAATCCAAGGCACTGAGTAACTGAGACTACTAGCCTCCAAGAAAAAGCTAGAGGAACTCTGAACCTTTCCTGGGCTTGCAGAACTACACAGGAAAGTAAGACTTGACATTGGTGTTTAATGTGCGCCCACCTAGGCTCATCCAAATCCAGTAGAGGGAACCACAAAGAGCAGAACACCAACACCCACAGGAAAAATTTGGCAGGTGCCAAAACCCACTGAGATAGCCAAAATAGTGAAACAAATAAACCCACATTGAAAAAACAATATAATTCTATCGAAGATGAGATAAATTAAAAGCAGTTTAGCAAATTATCAGAGGTAGAGTTCAGTGTCATGATTTTGAGGAAGCTCAACAGCATGAGTAAGGACATCAGCACCATGAGTAAAGGTATAGAAACATTGAAAACCAACAAAATGGAAATGAACAATGACATAGCAGAAATAAAGAACACATTGGAAGGACTAACCAGCAGAGTAGAGGAAGCGGAGGACTGGATCAGTGAATTAGAACACAGGTTAGAAAAAATCAACCAATTAGAAAACCAGAAGGAGAGAACAATTAAAAAATATAGGAAGATAGCTTAAGAGAACTGTGGGACAACTGGAAACGTAATAATATTCTCATTATAGGAGTTCCTGAAGAGGAAGAAAATGGGCAAGGGTTAGAGAATATATTTGAAGAAATAGTGAAATAAAAGTTTCCTAACTTGGTGAAGGAAGAAGGCAATCAAGTTCAACAAGGACAGACAACCTCAAGTAAGAAGAACCCAAACAGGCTCACACCAAGACATAGTAATTAAAATGCCAAAAATTAAATCAAAGAAAGAATCCTAAGGCACCAAGAGATAAGCAACAGGTTACCTAGAAAGGAAACCCCATTGGGCTCTCAGCTGACTTCTCAACAGAAACACTACAGGTCAGAAGGGAGAGGCATGAAGTAATCAAGGTCATGAGAAAGAAGGATCTGAATCCAAGACTACTCTACCCAGCAAGGCTATCATTAAAATAGAAGGTCAAATAAACAGCTTTCCACACACAAAAAAAGGCTAAGGGAATATATTAACACCAAACAAGCACTGCAAGATATGCTAAAAGGAGTGTTGTAATTAGTAGAAGAAACAGGAGGAAAAATATAACCACACTAAACAAAAATGGCAATAAATAAGTACATATCACTTATCACCTTAAAGGTGAATGGTTTGAATGCTCTGATAAAAAGACAGAGTAGCTGACTGGATAAGAAATCATGACTCGCATATATGTTATTTACAAGAGACCCACCTCACAATAAAAGACTCACATAGGTTGAAAGTGAAGGGATGGAAAAAAATCGTTCAAGCAAAAAAAAAAAAAAAAGGCTGGGGTAGCAATACTCATATCTGATAAAGTAGATTTCAAAATGAAGACCATAACTAGAGACAAAGAATGCCACTACATAATATTGAAAGGTTCCCTTGGTAAACATGTAGACACCCAATATAGGAGCCCCAACATATATTAAAAATCTTCTAAAGTACTTCAAAAGAAAAATCAATAGCAATATAATCATAGCAAGGGACTTACACGCCTTGCTGACATCACTGGATAGATCTAGACAAAAAATTAACCTGGAGTCACTGACTCTAAATGAAGTGCTAGATCAAATGAATTTCATAGATATCTACATAGAATTATACCCCAAAACTGCAAAATTCACATTCTTCTCAAGGGCACATAGGACATTCTCAAAGATAGACCACATGTTAGGACACAAACTAAGTCTCTACATGTTCAAGAAGATTGAAATCATATCAAGCATCTTCTCAGATCACAATGGCATGAAACTAGAAATAAATTGCAACAAGAACATGCAAAGACATTTGAAAACATGGATACTAAATAGCATGTTATTGAACAATGAATGGGTTACAATGGAGACCAAGGAAGAAATTAAAATTTATGGGATGCAGTGAAAGCAGTTCTGAGAGGGAAGTTGATAGCACTACTGGCCTACGTCAAGAAACAAGAAAATTTTCTAATAGACTATCTTACCTCACAACATAAAGAACTAGAAAGCAAACAAAAAGAAAACCCCAGAGCAAGTAGAAGGAAGGAAATAGTAAAGATCAGAGCAGAAATAAATGTCATGGAGACAAAAAACAAACAAACAAACAATTCAAAGCATCATTAAAACAAAGAGCTGGTTCTTTGAAAAGATACACAAAATTGATGGGCCCTTAGTTAGACTTACTGAGAAACAAAAAGAGCGAACTCAAATACACAGAATCAAAAATGAAAGAGGAGAAATAATAACTGACACCACAGAAATACAAAGAATCGTTAACAGATATTATGAACAAGTATACGGCAAAACATTCGACAATATAAGCAAAATGGTCAAATTTCTAAAAACACATAGTTTCCCAAAACTGAAACGGGAACAGATAGAAAATGTGAACAGACCAATAACAATAAAAGAAATTGAAGGTGTAATCATGACTCTCCCAGCAAACAAAGCCCAGGCCCGGACGGCTTCACTGGGGAATTTTACCGAACATTCAAAGAAGAACTAATATCCATTCTCCTCAAACTATTTCAAAAACTTCAAAAAGAAGGAAGACTTTTAAACTCGTTTTATGAGTACAGCATAATTTTAATTCCAAAGTCAGAAAAAGACTACAAAGAAAGAAAACTACAGACCAATATTCCTGATGAACATAGATGCCAAAATCTTGAACAAAATACTAGCAAATCGAATCCAGCAATACAACAAAAAAATTATTCACCATGACCAAGTGGAATTCATCCCAGGG